GAACTCACCAGTTTTGGGTTGAAATCATCCTCAACAACTTCACTTAGTGATATTCGTGGTTTCGAACGTCTGGGACTCTCTGGCTTGGGTTTAAGCAGTCCTTGCCCATTCTGACGCTGCATTTGTTGTACCCCTATCCGGAAACAACGACTTGGGTTGCATATAATATAATCAGCAGTGTATGATATTTTCTACTTATACACGTGTTTTATTTGTATAGTAAGTAGTAGTGTGTATACGTTAATCTACTCTTGCGGTGCGCTGGGGAGTGGGGACTAGTTCTATTCCGCGTAATTTTTGGATTCGAATAAAAACAGAGGTGTATATCTGTAATGATATTTCGCGACGGTAACTGTTGCTGATATAAAGGTAACTGTTCCGTTTTGGGAATTGAAGTAGCCTACAGTATGTGGAATTCTGTACATCAGACAGCAAGATGTAGCATATAGTAAATAAGTAGTAAACACGTTGACTGTTAATGTTAAACAGAGCGTTAGCGAGCTACATACACACTATGGGAATTCGGGATACAAATACCAATTTTAGTTGCAGCATCCAATAAACTTTACCGGTTATTTATTTATCGTCAAGATCTCTGGCAATGTTTTCAGGCGGATTTAATAGCGATTACTGATTAGTGATTACGAAAAACTGAGATTTTTTTTCTTCAAAAACAAAGCACGTAAATATGCAACATGTGTAAATAGACCGTAAATATTATTAACACATACATAACTATGACACAATACAAACCGTATTTATGCTCAAACTTTGACGAGTGACGAGTGACGATAACCAAAAGGCAGGAAATAAGAGACAATCACAACAAGGGCAATGCGTGTACAGATTTTAGCCTGACCAAGAGACTCAATTCACCCTCTCTCCCCGGTTCCATTCCTTTAAAATTATCTAAAGGTCCTTAATGAAGTGCTGTCACTCAAAGTGAAGACAAAACAATTGTGTATAGGAGGCGTACTTTCTACCAGAATGACCATATCATATACACCAACTCTCATGATAGTTACATTAAATTCTTTTTTATTGACACACATATACCCATATAGTCTATATTAAATGAGTCATATCAAATAGGTCTAGGCACTTTAGTGGCAGCGGAACCACGAGAAAAACTTGCGAGAAAGTATAATAGATTTACAGCAGTAACTTGAGATGTTTAAAAAAAAAGATTGTTTACGAGGTTGATGAACTATATTTGATCAGTAATTTCAAACAGGATCGTGTCTGCATGTCTTGGCCTCTAATTGTCAACCACGGAATACTGGCCACCACATGCCTGGCCCTCTGGATTAGGTCTCAAGCGGAAATCAGGGTTCTGTGTGTCGTAGCGGTAAAAAAATAGCCTGTTTATCAAAGACGCTATGGATGACCGATTTTTGCAAACTACATTTCGTACAAAATATTTTTTTTCAAAATCATGTACAGTACCGTAAATATGTTCTTTTTTAGTTTTATTATTAGTATAAAAATACTTAGTGAAGTTGTGAGCTTGTGTATGTTGACTGACGTGTGCGTGAACCTGTTATAGCTCTGAAGTCTGCTGCTGTGAGCAGGTCAGAAGGCACAACAATAATAAAGCACTTTTGTCTTTTTGAGTTCAGCAAACTCCTACCGCTATGCTCCCATGTGATAGTGAGAAGAAAAAAACGTCCTACAGGCTACAAGGGTACATAGTACATATTCACAACTAAACATAGTATATTATACAGAGTAGAGGCCTTCTTCAATCTTCATAGACAAATCTTCGGAAAAAAAATCTTTTGACCAATCACTTGTTACCATTTGACTGAGAGCCTGTCAAAGTGTCAATTGTCAAGTCAACTGTCAGAGGAGACATCGAAGTCGGGAGCTGTCACTGCTGTGGATGTTCTACTTCCAACATACATGTGTAATAAATACTGTAAATACAGAACCTCTATGTTTGACGCGCTTATATACAATATTTACACACACATGCACATGTTTACATCGAGGTAGCCTGCAAGATATACAATTTATATAATGATAATACGGAATGTGGGCGCTAATTTCGACGCTTTGTTAAACACAGTGCGATTGCACGTACAACGCGTGCAGCCCCAAAAATGGGTGACCATAGGGCTGGTTAGCTTACTATGTCTGCAGCACATCTACTACAACTCCTTAGAACCCCCTGTGCCTATAATAAACACATTCACGATAACACAACGCCCCTTAATAACCAGTGATTGTAAACGCACACAAACGTACGTGCCTAGTGCATGGGAACAATGGTGGGTAGATCACATGTCCGAAGTCCAAAGTGACGATTGGATCGAAGCATGTGATCAAATGCGTGCCAAAAAAGACTATGCATACACAGCTGTTGACTTTGCGCAGAGCACACTACAGGAAAGTACACTTGAGGAAGCAGGAAAGTGGTCTAAAGATGTACAGAGCTACTTCAGAGTGACATACAAATGTCCCGGAAAACCAGATGTAGAGGAAGAACACCCTATCGAGCCACTTGTTTCTTTCCTCAGGAATCCAGTGCACTGGTGCATACAAGAGGATTGGGATCTACGGCTCGATAAGAACTATTTGGTGCTAGACTATGCACCTACGGTGCAAAGAGGAGGTCGAAATTTTCTATTTGACGCTGGAGCTTCATCGTAAGAATTTTTGAAGTCGACTGTTATAAGTGTTCTGTAATAT